CCCAGTATATTAGAAAATTGAACTTTATAAGTTTCAGATAGTTGAAAAGGCATTTATAAATAGTTTGAGATCTTTGGGATCTTAGATTGTGTTCCTCACATTAAAAAAAAGATTGAGAAATAAACAAGTAAAATAAGTAGAGGTAGAATTTGTTGACAAAGTGAAAAACAGCTGACAGAATTCAGCTAGAGTTAATTGATAGGATGAAAATAGACAACAAAGGATACAGAATAAGAGTTTATTTGGTTCAGGAGTTAGTGAAATAAAAGAACATTACGGTATAGGGTGTTGGTAGTAATAGAAGGGAATCTGTTTTGATTGAAACACACTTGAGGTTATTACAGGAAATACCATGAAGCTGACCTTCATCAAAGTGATTGCTTCACTGGCCTTTAAATAAGGACATTCATGATAGCTTTTCTAGTTCAGTAGCTTGTCAAAGCAAGCAGTCTCTTGAATTTCAGTTGAGAGTATTGTAAAATCTTACTTTTTTGTCAAGGTGTTATATTGAGGTTGAGTACTCCAATGAAAAAGATCAAAATGGCTACATACAGATAGTCCTTGGGTTATGATGGCAAGTGGGACCAGAATTTCTGTAGCGGGCTCCCCAGGTGAAAAAGGAGAGGAGCAACTTATGGCAATGTCTTGCAACTTACCTTCTGACTTCCGCATTGACTTTGCTTGTGGAAAGCCAGCATGGAAGGTTGCAAATGGCGATTGTGTGACTGCAGCTCACTGTGATATAATTGCAGTGTAAACAATTAAGTACCCAGATAGCAACCACAAGACTGTTGGACCACTGCAATGGCCACAATTTCATGGAGCGATCTGCACTGTTCAGCACTGTTGTAATTTTGAATGGTTGCTGAATATGAGGTTGTAACTCGAATTCTATCTGTGAATCAAATTGGTGGTGCATTGCATAGGTTTCTACCATTTTGTGTGCCTTCCAAATATATAAAAATAGTAGTCTTTTATATATTATTATGGGAGCAGATAATGGGCTAGGTGATCTGAATTTACTGGGTTAAATAATCTACAACTGTGACCAGATACAAAGAATAGGAAATCTATAGATGTGTCACAATATATAGCCTTGTTTGCCTTGATATTGCCTATATTTTCCACCTTTAAATTTTTTCCCCTCTACCAAAATTTTGAGTAGATAAATGTAAGAGTGAGTTCTTACACTGATGTAGCTAGTAAGATAAGTGGGGATTGCTTCACTTTCTCAGATTGGCATCCAGTGCACTGAAAGCACAGGAGTAAAAAAGGCAGATCTAATGGCTTTGAATTTCTTATGTATCGGTTCTGCTAATATTCTAACCTACATGGAGGATCCAGTATAACTCCTGTCTCAGTTTTTTGAGAGAATTTGATGGCCCAAGTTAGGCTCAGAGAATTTAAAATATTAGGGGTGTCACTTTTTTCCCCTCTTGTGCTCATCATATGTCTTCACCAAAAGAGAAGGAAAATATTGCAAATGCTCAGCTGTTTTTATTTTTTTATTTTTAATCTAGATTACCACAACTGAAAGATCCATCAGTTTCAGTGATAACAATTATATTGATTCTCTGGCAAATGAAAGAACATTTGAGTTGATCAATAGTCCAAATCTCACTTTGGACAATGCAAATACATTGTGTTAACCTGTCTCTTGATTTAACAGAATTTGGCCTGCTGGAATCCTTCAAATCCTGAATGTCTCCTGCTTGTTGTAAAGGAACTTGTACAACAGTATCACCAGTTTCAATGTAGCAGATTACGTGAGAGCTCTCGGCTCATGTTTGAATATCAAACATTACTTGAAGAACCTCAGTATGGAGAGAACATGGAAATTTATGCTGGCAAAAAGAACAACTGGGTAAGAGTACAACAACAGAAGAGTACTACTAGAGATTCCTTTCCATAGTAACTATAACCTGATTTGAAGGAGATGTTTGTCCTAGGTGTGTATTTCTTAAAATAGATGTCCTCATTTTACCTTTGTTTCTTTTCTCCCTTCCTGCTGTTTAACAATTTTATTCCATTACCTTGCTTGAACTTGTTACCTAGGTAAACAACTATGGCTAACAGTGATGTGGAATTGAACCTTATGAATGCAATAAAGCACTGACTTCTCATTGATCTTAACATTTAATAAATACTTTTATCCTAATTAAATAAATTCTGCAAGCTGTAAGAGTCTAGAGTTGGAAATGCTTCCTCCTCTTTCCAATAAAAGAGACAGTTTAAAAAGTAGCAATAACACCTGCTATTGAGGTGCTGCCGTCCAGTTTTCAGGGTAATTTTCAAAAAAATTGTCTGTGAATGAGTTACAGATTGCATAGTAACGTGTTGTATACCATTGTGAAATAGTATACAGCTTGTAAAAATAAAATAATTGGAAATGATTCTGGGTATTTATTTATTCATTGTTAGCAGAAATTTAAAGCAGAATAGAAACCTGTTTATTTATTTATCAAATTTAGAAACTCTCCATCTCACTCACAAAGTGACTCTTTAGTTTCAGTAAGTAGCTAAAGACCAGAGTTCTCAATCTTTGGTTCAGTAACTCTTTAAAATGATACATTAATTTGTGGACTGCTACAAATTATGGATAAAATTATGTCATTATGTTTATACACCATTTATTTTTAATAATTACATTTTGAGCTGCATACTCAATAAAACAATATTAAATAAAAATAAAATAAAAATTATTACAAATAAACTATGAAATAGTTAAATTTAAAGTAGTATTTTTAATATGGTAAGCTTATGCATATCTGCATAATTTAAGGTTCCACTCAAAGCGATTATCCTATGACAGAGGAAAAAATACTGACTTTTCCCTAATTCATTAGAGTACAGGTCATCCTCAGCTTATGATCATTTGTTTAATGATATTCTAAAGTTAACATTTACTATTCTAAAGTTATGACCTGTACTCGAACTGATGACTGTCATACCACCTTCACAATTTAGGACCTTTATAGCCAATTTCCAGCAAAAACCATCCATTGGGAAAGCTGGATTTGCTTAATGACTACATGATTTGCTTAATGTTAGCTGTAAAAATTGTCATAAAATGGACTACTTGTATTAGAAGTATGAAGGGAATGTTCAGGCTTTCAAGATAGTATTACTATAGTCCATGATGGCGAATCTATGGCATACATGCCCAAAGTGGCACATGGAGCCATGACGCCTGGCACATGCAGCATCGGCCGTTCCTCTTCCGGGTTTCTGGCATGCATGCGCATGCAACAATCAGCTGGCCTTTGCACATGCGGCAGTGCCGGAAACTGGAAGAGCTTGTCTTCTGTTTTCCCTCATGCTCATGTGCGGCAATAACTGAAAAACTGGCTGGCTGATGCACATGTGCGCGATGGAAACTGGAAGTTAATTTTCCGGCACGCATATGCCCCCTGGGCAGCTCCTATTCCTGGTCACAGCCCAGATAAGTGCGCACACAGAGTGCTCCCTTTTTGGCACTCGGTATCGAAAAGGTTCGCCATCACTGCTACAGTCTATATCAGTGATCTCCAACCTTTCTGGATTGACAGACTGCCAGCGGTGAAGGTGTGGAGGGAGAGGGGATGGTTTCATGCACGCTGCTTTCACAAGTGCAGCTTTGCGCATATGCTTGCCCACCACTTCCATGACCCAGTTCTGAATGGGCTACGGTCTGACACAGGGCTGACACCAGGTGTTGGGTTGGGGACCCCTCATCTATATATCAATAAAGTGTACTTTTAGTCACTTTTGTGGAGTTTGTTTCCTGACTTGCCTAACTTGAGGGGTGTACAGTCTTGTCTAAATGATTCTTCTGTTGAATGGCCAAAGTTATGAATTAAATGAATTATAACATGCAACACCTGCAGGGTGTGACTAAATTGGTAATGATTAGCTAAAAGTGTCTGATCTCTTTCCAAAATAATATGGCAATAGAATTGCCTTGTAATATAATGGAGCTGATCATCCACCCTTGTTTTTTCACGACATGTAATAATCTGAGAATGCGATCCTTACATAGTAATTAAAAAGCTTTAACTACTCATTAGTTAATCATTTTATAAAACCCATATAAAATAGTAGCACATGAGATGCAATTTAATTAGTACAATTAATGAAAAATTGTTGAAATGTTTCAAGGGTGCTGTTTTCACGAAGTCTCATAAAATATAAGGGGGAATGCAAAATCTCAAAAGTTTTCAATGCTAAGATATGAGCCATAGGAGGTTTCAAGAATTAAATCTTGTGACATCAGTTACCATTTGGTTCTTTCAAAAAAGTGTTTCTAGATACTGATACATCTGCTGAAATTGGACACAAGGTCCCTACAAGAGCTGAATTCTATTAGTCCTGAGGAGGACTAATGGAGTTAATACACAATGATCATTGTAATTGGAAGGTGGGAATGACATAATTGGGAGAGAATCTTGCTATCATTGGAGTCTGCTTTCCTGCAGACACTTTGCCTGTTACATGATTAGCTTTTACTATGTTACACAACTCTAAAAGTTTCAATTATGTCTCCGGATTATTATTAGGAAAGAACATGCTCAATTCAATATTGAGTTCCTTTTTTTCTGTTCTTTTAAATTGATAGACTGGTGAATTTTCAGCTCGGTTCCTTCTGAAATTGCCAGTGGACTTCAGCAATATCCCTACCTACCTTCTCAAGGTAAAATAATCCATTATTACTTGAGCTATCATTTTCTTCGAAATAAATGAATTCCAATGCCTCCTGTTTTTTTTTCTTTTTCTGTAACTCCTTTCCACCCCCTTCCCTTTCTTCTCTTTTAATCTTTTCTGTCTTTGTATATTTTTCCTTTCTTTGAAACTTAATAATGCTGATTAAACAGTTCTGCATCTTTATTTTGTCTGCACTATCTATTTTCATACGTTTAACCTTGCAAAAAATTGAATTCAGTTTAAGTACAGAATAAGTGATAAGCATTACACATAACTTTCCCTAAAAAAATTCTTCAGTAGTTTTCAACATGACATTTAATATCCAAATAGACTTAAATGATTCTGTTTAAGCCTTTGAAACTTTGTCAGTGAGTCAACAAGCTAACTGAGGAGGAGGTACACATACTTTTCAGTAGTTAGGAAAGCTGTTGAATTCAAGCCAGAGACATAGATGCTAGGAGGTTGTTAAATTCTTTTTAGGGAAATGAAAAATGAATATATAGTGTGCACATATATATTAAATTATTCTATGTCAAATGTGCTTGATATGAAGGGAAAACACGGCTATATCTAAAGAAAAAGATAACGTCTCCTACATGTAACTTCTCAGCGTACCTACTGTATCTATCCATTCAGGCAGTAAGAATATGTTTGAAAATGCTATTAGGTAGTGTAAAGTGTCTTTACCAATATAAATAGAACAGTATGGTATAAATGTAATAATAAATAATAGAATATAAATAGATAAGGAATCAGAGATATTTTAGGACCTAAATAATTGAAGGAGAAAGATGACTTGAAATATTTTATTAAATATTATTTTTATTATTAACAAGATGCAGTTTTACATTCACTTTTCCACATTAAGCTCTTTTAAACTAATTAATATGTACCTTTCAGTAGGGGTGTGTTGTGTGGTGGGGGAAGGGAAATTGTGTTGCTAAAATGCATTAAGGTAATCATCAGACAAAGCGCCCACTCATACCTGTATGTATAGTAAGAGGTATTTAAGGTATGTGCCTTAAATTTAACTCTAATTCTCTTGACAAACACTATTCCTCCTAGTTTTCATGAATAACTCATACTATAACCAATTTCGTTGTATTTATTTTGTACAGTGACAATAAAAGCTATATTATACATCTGTTAGAGACATTTCAGGAAAACATTCATTCACTTCATTCATTGTTTTCTACTTTTTTAACTATTCCCATTCTTGCCAAGCATGACACTTGATATAGTCCAGCATTTCTTTCATCACTTGCCCAAAGTATGTGAGTTTATTTTTGCTCATGCTCATTTCAAGTGAAACTTTATTTGGTCTAGGATTGATTGCTTATTTCTTCCTGTGGTCCAATACCTGTCCAATCTTTGCATTCCAAAATTAGTATGTAGGTACAAGTGCACATTGTTAGAACGTTTGTTGTGGTCTTGGTGTGCCAAATCTGCAAAAAATGAATTACCCTCAACAAGTTTTAAATACAAGCTAATGTTGCTACCATTTGCTTAATTTTATAGGATGTTTACAGGGGGAAAATTTAACATTTTAAAGATATAATTTTGTAATTTGTTTTGGAAATTTGTTAGAAATTAGTAGAATTCATTATACAGTCAGGTGTGATCCATGTCATTAAGAAAGCCATTATGCTGAGGGGTCATCACATATTTGAATCTTGTTTAGGGATGGAAATTCTGTACTATGACAGAGTGAGTTTAGTATGATGAGTTTTACATGGTCTGAATTAAAGAGGATCTGTTACAATTGAAAATTAATATCTAATAGATCTGTAGCAATCAGGTTTTCTAGTTGGCATAGATATGTGTTTTTATATGTAACATTTTGCATACATTAATCTTAATGGAATCTCAGATTATTTATGTTTTATTTTTTTAGGCTATAATGGAAAAATAATATTTTTCATATTATGTCCACAGTGCAGTCATAGATAATACAGTATCCTCAAAATCTTCAGTTGGCACCTATAGAATATTTAATTTAATTTAATTTAATTTAACTAAACTAATTTTAGTTAAATTTAATTTAACTAAACAGCTGGACAATGTCGGCTGGCGACGCCTCGAAATAGGGCCTTCTCTGTTGCCGCTCCGGCCCTATGGAATGAGCTACCCCCAGAGAGCAGGATCCTACCTACTCTCATGGCCTTCCGAAAAGCTATCAAAACCTGGCTATTCCAGCAGGCCTGGGGCTGTTGACCTCTTGATTAAGGTCCAGCCCCACTTAGATTGGGTGCATGTTGTGTTTCTTTTAATCTGTTGTATTTTTACTTGCTTTTAATCTCTCTTAATTATTTTTATTTCTGTAAGCCGCCCGGAGTCCTCCGGGATTGGGCGGCCTATAAATTTAATAAATAGAAATAGAAATAGAAAATGAAATGTAATCCTTGCAATATTATCATTCTTACATTGCCTTGCATGAACATTCCAAATATCTACCCCATAATCTTGCTTCATTTTAATTTTTAGCTATAGAGACACTTTTTAAAATTGATATTATTCTAATTTTAAAATATTACGCTGATTGATCTCAGAAAAGTTAATATTTAAAAAATCTATCCATTATGATATGAAATTGATATAGAAAGAAATATTAGTGATGATTATTGTTAATAAATGTTATCTTTTTTATATAAAGTTGTGTCTTAACATAATGAAAAGGAAAGGAATAGTAAACTTGTTAGAAAATCATGACTGACTGATGTGGACTTTTAATATATTGAAGAGGGTGCTTCTTCCCAGGTGTCCTTAAAATTTTAAAGCTATGCTATTCTTCATTAAAAAGTTCCTTTTTAGTTGAGATACAATATCAGTGTCTAGTTTTCTGGAGATTGCAAATAAGTATCTCATTATATTTCTTGAATTGAAGGTTGACTTGGCCTTCCATCCTTCTGAGGTCAGTAAAATTAGGTCCCAGATTGTTGGGGGCAATATGTTGACACTAAACTGCTTAAAGAGGGCTGTAAAGCACTGTGAAGCAGTATATAAGTCTAAGTGCTAATGCTATTGATTGAAAAATATAACTGTCAGCCCATTTGAAGCATTTACCCATATACAGGTAGCTGGATTTTTTAAGATAATAATAATAATATGTATCATGCTTAATAGACACCAAGAAAAAGATTTTTCTTCTGTTGTCACTTGAGGAATGAAATGTGTGGAAAAGTAATCTAGATGAGACTTTTGGACTTGACATTCAGTATAGTATGGAAAACAGCAAATGGAGCAATCTCCATTTTAAACAATCACTTTGAATTGTCATAAATTCAGATACTTAGAATTTACTGTCAGATCACCAGTGGAATCTTTTGGCAGGCAAGCAGCGAATACTAAAAACATTGGTTGCCTGAATTTTTCTTGTCTAGCTTCTTTCCTTGTATCTTAATGAAAAAGCCCCTGTTGTTCATTTGTGATAAAAACCTATAGAACTAAAGCTTATATAATTAGTAAATATGTGCATCAATAGTAATTTACGGGAAAATGGAGGAATATCAATGGAATCTATAGACATTGAAAAAGACACAGTGCCCTGTCATTTAAGCCATTGTCTAGCCACTGCAGGATGAAGGCCTTGTCCGCATGTTTCCAACTAATATGGTCTAGAGCTTTCTTTTACCAATTGGGCCTGCAATACTAGCTGATGTCATCAATCCATCTTGTTTTAGGTTTCTTTTGTAAACATTTTTTATCAAGTGGGATCCATTCTATGCCTGCCTTGGTCCACCTGCCATCAGCTATGTGACCAGCCCATTTCCATTTCAATTCTTTTACTCTCTAGATGATATCATATACGTTTTGCATGTTCTCTAATCCATGTGCAGGTCTTTCTATCTTGTCTTGTAATAAAATCCACTGCCCTGTATTTTAGCACATATAGAAGAATATTTCTTGCTTCCACAGTCTTTGCGTCAACTTCATCATCTTATTGTTGGGAAAAGAATATGGTTCAGAATGTTGCCATATAAGAAACATAAGAATCATCCTACAATGGAATGTTTAAAAAAATGAAGACCAAGTATTATAGTAAAAATAAATAAAGACCATTTTCTTACAGTTGAAATAGGAAAAGGACTTATGCGGTGGGGTGGAATTCCATGGAATTATTAGTAAAGTACTAATAATTGCTAGCTATTTTGTTACAAAGCAGAAATTCTGCTTATGGAAAAACAAGTATTGTTCAAATTAAATTTCTCTCAATCCCTGAACTTTTCTGTTACCAAGTTGTCAGCCTTCCAGGATAGGAAAGGCCAGGAAATTTGACAGTGCAAAGATTATAGGTACTGTTGTTTATTATTGCAGGGTTTAATAACAAAAGCTCAAAAACCTGCCAGAGTTTCCCTTTGTCCCCTCTTATACCAAAGAGAATCATGGTGGGATTATTTTAAATTTCTTTGTCTCCTTTTTCCTTTTCCAGGACTATGTTGTTGTTTCTCCTCTAATGGATCCTGCTTTCTGTCATCAAAGTTATCTCCACATTCTTCTATTTCAGTTATGCAAAAAATGCTCTTATTACTTGAGCTGGGAAATTTCTTCTGTACTACTGAAAAATGTTTTCAGTTTGTATAAAATTCTAGACAGATGGGAAAAACCATCTTAGCTGACTGATGCCTTTCTGATGATACATAAATCATCACTCTAAAGGAACCCTAGGGCTGTGAGTTGCTTTATCTCGAATGGAGATTACTGCAGGACAAGATCCAAATCAGTTTTTTTTTCAGTTTTAGCATTCCCGGTGCACTTTACAAGAGAACATTAACTTCAACTAAAATAATCATTCTAATAATATTTATACTATGTGTCTATTTTGTGTTTTAATAAAATAGACCAAAATGCATTGGTTAAATCTCATCATGTATTCAGAGCTCTGGAAAGGAGCTTGCACTGTATTAAATGAAGAGGGAAAATAAGTGATCCTATTCAGTTTTTGATTCTGTCCTGATGATTGATTATTTACCACCAACAGAACAACAATAT